GTAATGTGTCTACACTGTTACTTTAGTCACACCAGTAATGTGTCTACACTGCTACTTTACTCACACCAGTAATGTGTCTACACTGCTACTTTACTCACACCAGTAATGTGTCTACACTGCTACTTTACTCACACCAGTAATGTGTCTACACCGCTACTTTACTCACACCAGTAATGTGTCTACACTGCTACTATACTCGCAATCCTGTACACTGAGCGTTGGTATGCCAGCCTTATCCCAAGACACAGGTACCTCATGTCAGGTGTCTACGGATCGGTGTTGGCATTGACAGTTGAGATATCGTGTGTGTGGTGACACACGACGTCTGGTTACACTAGCAGATGGCGGTTTATACATCTGGCCGGTACAAGCAGGAAATGCACATGGGTGCATTCCACCGCCATAACTTCAGCTGGTTAGTGTAGCAGGCTGCAGAATAGGTTACAGCTGACGGGACCTCGCCAACTGTTCTGATAACCCTTCCTCCACCACTCTCAGTGACGTCACAGGAACCCATAGTCCATCCAGTCATATGTTAGTGATAGTAGAAACTGTATTCTGATTGGTGTTTTGTGTGGAAGCCTGTCTGTGACGAGACATTAGGACGAGTTCAGCCATCTCGCTTTGAGCTTCATCTCCTCATTCTTGTTGAAGCTGTAAAGGCGAGAAGATGCGGCAACTCCTCACAGAGCTCCTCTAAGATACAAGTACTTATTGACTTGAGAATGGTCCAGTCGACAATCGACTTGAGAATGGTCCAGGACGGACCGAAACGTCGTCGTCCCTTCACCTTCTAGTGTGTGGTCTGGTCAACATTCTTCAGCCACGTTATTGTGACTCGTCGCCTGCATACAAGTACTTACAACCGTTCATACTTACTCTACGCATCCTCTCAGAGACGACTCCCATTTATCAATAGCTACAAATGATAGTCGTGCGTGTGAATGTGTGCGGTGTGGCTGTGTGTCGAGTGTGAGTACTTTGTAATGAATTGCATACGCATCTTTTAACTTACATTTTCATAGCGCTAAGTGCGACCCAGGTGAGCCGGGGTGGTAAGTCGGGTCCCTCGTCCTCACACTGAACCCATTACCATGAGGAAACCACACCCCCTTTAAACCACCTGGATAGTTATCTAGATATCTGCGATGGTTAGGAGCGTTCCCTACCTGCCTCATGTCTTAGACTGGAGGCCGCCTGTGTGGGCAAGAATTTCTCAAGACAAGAATGGATACCAGCTGCAGAAGACTCGTTTTTGTGGGATACAAGGAAATATTGGTGTGGAGGCAGGCTTGTGGATGAGGGGAATGTCAGTATTATTAAGACAAACAGTTCAACAGGTTTCCATAATAGATTGGAGACTATATGTGGGTGAGACTATATGTGGGTGAGAGTATATGTGGGGTGAGAGTATATGTGGGGTGAGAGTATATGTGGGGTGAGAGTATATGTGGGGTGAGAGTATATGTGGGTGAGAGTATATGTGGGTGAGAGTATATGTGGGGTGAGAGTATATGTGGGGTGAGAGTATATGTGGGGTGAGAGTATATGTGGGTGAGAGTATATGTGGGGTGAGAGTATATGTGGGGTGAGAGTATATGTGGGGTGAGAGTATATGTGGGTGAGTATATGTGGGTGGAGTTCAGCTGCACCTGCCTTGTATGGCCCAGTGTGCCAGCTTCGGTCCTCCCTGATGCTTATGTTCTTCGTATTATGTATAAGCTTGAAGAGTCTAGTATAGGCTGTACCTTTTGTTTTGATGAATGGCTTATTGTATAATTACCGCATGGGTAAATATGTCTTCATTTATTCTTTTAATTTACTGTATTTGTTGACATAATTAGTAATGTATTTATTAGCCGTTTGGCAGTTTACTGGCCGTAGTGTGGCGACACAACTGGCCGGAGTGTGGCGCAGGTCGCTGTAGGCCAGGGAGTGTGTGGACGTCACTGGCGTCTCACAAGATGCCTCACAAGTGACGTATTTTCATGTCAGAGGGACATTGTACACTTCCGGTCAGGAGCAGAATCATTCAGTGTTACTAACATTATGAATGAGGATATGAGAGCACTAACACTTGGGTACCTTAATAAGTACATGTATAGGGGTTTTGTAATACCATTTGTGCTTTATTCGCTCGTGTTCTTGGTGATATCTCAATATTGCATTAAAAGTTTGCCAATGTTGACTACTGGTCACAAGACCCTGTATGACTGACGCTCCTGTGAGATGGGGAATTTGTTAGCATCACATAACTCTTGACACACACCACGTAACCCTAAATATACTCTAAGGTAGCTGAATAAATACAGATTTACCCGAGTGTGTTAATACAAAAGTGTTGTACTTGGATATGTAAAGGATTGCAACCGTTGTGGTAGAAACACTTTCCTGGCCTGTACTTGTGGTCGGTCTCGAGCCCATTGTTGATGTGAAGATGCGCATTGAAAATTGTAACTAGCTCATCAAGATTGTAACTTGCTTAGCTAAATGAATTGTGGGGTTCAGTCCCTGAGCCCATTGTGTGCCTCTGTAACCCTTTCCACTACCGCCCACAAGATGGGTATGGGGTGCATAATAAATGAACTAAACTAACTGGCGTGTGAACACTAAACATGAACACCCTGAAGGCTATGTACAGAGGAACTGGGTCACGACCCTGACTATAGCATGTGTGTGTGTCCTTACCACTCTACGAGAACGTCTCTGGCGTGAAGAGGGCGTTGCAGGGGTGCAACACCCTCTGCACCCATGCAACTTTGTTGATTGGCTCGCACAAAGGCATCCTTGTCGCGGCGGCGGACCTGACCTTCCTGTGTGTGTGTGTGTGTGTGTGTGTCGCTGGACCTGGCTTGCGGTCACTCCTCGCTAAGACATCAACACATCAACTCGCTCTCTACTATTTAAGTAGAAAATAGACACAAGTCGGTAAAGATTGAGCGAACGGACGAGGTTACAGACATATGGGGCTGTAGAGTGAGGTCACTAAGACGTGCACAGACAGACGTGGTCACTGCGACTTTAGCAGACAAGGTCATCGAGGCTTTATGGCCGCCATCAGCAGTAAGTTAGGTCATTAAGCCAGTTGGTGGAGCCATTTGCATAGTCGCCACCGGCACCGGGAACTGCAGGGGCGACACTAAGGTAGGAAGGAGAGGGTAGGGAAGAGTAGGGGGTCGGGGAGGTATTGGGGAGGATACGTGGGGCTACAAGGGGAGGTATTGGGGAGGATAAGTGGGGCTACAAGGGGAAGATATTGGGGAGGATAAGTGGGGCTACAAGGCTAGATGGGGAGGATAAGTGGGGCTACAAGGGGAGATGGGGAGGCTATAACGTTGGAGGTGAGCGTAGGCTAGGGAAGGGAAGTGTGTCGAGGATAATGGGATTGGAGAGCAAAGGAGAATGGAAGAAGGATGAAAGCTTAGCGTGATGGGGAATAGGGCATGGAAGGTGCGACTTGGATAGGGTGTAGGGAGTGGGGGACCGTTGGGAGTGGGGGGACCGTTGGGAGTGGGGGAGTAATGACAGGTGGAGGACGCTGGAAGCATGACTACAAGTGTTGAATTATGTAAACCTCTTAATACCACCGCTCTTCTCCCCTACCACTACCCTTACCCTCCTCCTTACCTTTCTGCTCCATACTCTTTTGACTCCATTTCCCCCACACCCTTTACCCTTTTCCCCATTCGCTTAACACCATCGTTCTTCGTACCCCATAACTACTTTTTACAGCCAGTACCCATATCCTTCCTCCCCACCCCTGCCTCAACTTCCGGTTTGTATCTTTTTTCCCTTGTCACTGGGGGTGGTGGGGGGGGGGGGGGGGGGTGAATTGAAATTGAGGTTTTATTGAGGTTTCAATACACGCACAGGGGGATGAGGTAGCTCAAGCTGTTCTCACTATTGAACACGTTGTTCAGTACAACGTGTTCATATATATATAATATATATATATATATATATATATATATATATATATATATATATATATATATATATATATATATATATATATATATATATATATAATATCAACATACTACCGAACATTCTGAGTGATAAACATATACATTTCTGCAGAAGACAATTTGCAACAGACATTCAGACAGTTCAATAAAGTTACAGTCTTGATGCAAAATTCTTATATCCCTCCAGAATATCATCAATCATTCCGTTGTGACACACACAAAGCTATTTGTTCAGGGAATGGTCTTATAGGAGATAAGAGTCTTATCTCAGAGTTTCTATATACATTAATCAACGGACAATCAAGAACATAATGGGCGAGGGTGTGAGACCTTAACACAGCGCATAGTTTGCACTTCGTGTCATTATCATTAACATCTATTGCATATTCCCCGTAATATTTGTACCTAAGGCTGAGCCGCATGTGTACAGTCACTCCAAGCAGTTCTCCGTGCTCTGAGAGAGAGAGTTAAGGGGTGTCAGTAGGTATGATTGTGTAAGGAGAGGATTTCCCGGGGTCCGTAGAGTTATCACCTTGGCTGATAGTGAAGACGGTGACAAGTGGGTGGTGGAGGAGGGCACTATCACAGCCCTTGTACTTCTCCGCTAACTAAATGAAATCGCGACACGTCTCTATGACTATTTATCGTTACAACTAAAAAACATATATTGTCATAAATATGTATATCCGCAGTTTTATTACACCTGTCTTTGGTAAGGGTTCGAGGTAATCAAACGATTGTCTGTGACTCGGATCAGTTTTAAAGAGATTATTAAGAGGGCAGGGGGACGGGGGGGGAGGGACGGAGGGATGTGGCAATTATGTATGAAATAAATTATCTTATTATAAGACGTTACCCGCAATAACTGTGGGGCAGAGTTCCTGGGAGAACCTGGTGCCTCTGAGATTATAGCCGTCGTGTTATTTTGTAGCAGTCTTGTGTATACTTATGGTGGGAGCGAGTGTTGCTGGCGTGAGGGCCGGGGAAGAACTTTTTAACGGGAAAATGTCAGATAAGAGCGTCCGCCGTGGCATGACTAGTGCAGGGGGAGACATCCTCGCTAGTGTTGTGACACCCCTGAAGGCGTGCGTCCACGCTACACTGGGCGTAGCTGTCAGTAGCATTTGTGCCTTCCTTAACGAAGGTGCGTGTAGCGGCGTCACCATACTGCCGTCACCGTGGCGTAGGTAGTCGTGGATTAGTCCCTGGACGCTTGTGACACAGAAATTTGTGAGACCTTGGGACATGGACAGCGACGGTACAGCTACGCCACATTATACGCTCAGTGCGCTCTACGATTGTGAAGAAAAAAAGAGTACATGGGTGCGATGTGTTGTATAGAAAGGGTGAGAGACGGTGTAACTCGTGCGGTGGGTGTTATGGGGCGAATGTGAGCTAGTGTATAGGTCGTGTATTGTGTTGGAGATAAAGTGAACGGAAGCCTCGGCACGTAATCTTTCTCAGCCACCCCCGTGCCACACCCCTGGGCCTGCCTCTAGCGCCCCGGGAGCGCCTGACGTACCGCCCAGAGCATCAATGTCTGCACCTGGATAAACGGGGCACCTCGGCAAACTGTGCTGCTGGGCCCCTTACAACAAGTTGGAGGGCCCCCATACCTCATCCTGGAGGCCAATAGCTGCGTATCAGCTGCTCCTGGCCGCACTATGAGGGCCCGTACCGCATCTTATTGTTCATCTTTCCCTTCTGTCTTTGACGCACGTTTGACGCAGTTAATTTACTGGACTGATTCTACTTGACCTGATTCAACTAGCCTTAACCATGGTGGTGTTAGCGACCTGACCACGGACGAAGTACCTCATGGGTGCCAGTCTGCTACTTTAGTGCCAGAATGCTAGAGCATTCAGGCATACTTGAGCACTTAGGGTTGTATTCCTTACACACACACTGTCGCATAAGGAAAGGTGAAAGATGGGCACCGCAGTTGAGGCTCGTGACACAGGCCTGGACACACACACACACACACACACACACACACACACACACACACACACACACACACACACACACACACACACACACACACACCCCTACCTACCTACCTCATGATGTGGTACAAAGCTGGCGTAAGACGCAGTCATGTGTGTCGTCAGTTATACGCCACATCAGCTTCCTCTCGCACATGATCACACACATCACACCAACACACAGCTTTCAGAGACTTAGCGCCAACTGTCCATTAGCCCTAATCTTTAAAAATATTGCAGTATACACAACTTGAAAGAGAAAAGTAAAAAAAATCAGCAATATATACAGACGATGAGTCACAATGTGGCTGAAGATATGATGACCAGACCACACACCAGGAGATGAGACGACGACGTTTCGATCCTTCCTGGACCATTATAAAGTCACATGTGTGACACGACGACCACACACATGACTTGACAATGGTCCCGAACGGACCCAAACGTCGTCCTTTCTCCACCCTCTGGTTTGTGGTTCATGCTAGAGATGCTACTATCTACAATAGATGCTACTATCTACAATAGATGCTACTATCTACAATAGATGCTACTATCTACAATAGATGCTACTATCTACAATTAGTAGAATTTGGAACTATTCTCTCTATAGAGTCCGGAAAAAATAGAGCTAAAAGCCAAACTTATATATTACTAAGCCTAGTATAGTACATATATGTAGTATAATGAACCTCAGCGTATATTAGGCCTAGGATGGTTAAGTTAGGGTTTTATTAGCAGCATAAATACAAGACCTTTCCTGCTTGGTCCAAAGTTAGTAGTACTAAATTCTACTTTCTAATTGTCCATTGCGTCAATATATGTACGGTAGCCCACCTGGTTATTATATGTACCATATAAACACGAGGGGAGACTGCTATATTCCCTCTCACTCACCTTTATTCCCTCTCACTCACCTTTATTCCCTCTCACTCACCTTTATTCCCTCTCACTCACCTTTATTCAGCTTTCAGGCAGGCATGAAGAGGCTTCGTAATCCTCATTATGTTAGAATAATCCATCTCTTGTTGGATTACCCATGGCCAGAGTTGTGGATGGTGGTGTGGATTAGTGGTAACCACTATTCACAACTCTGCTATCCGTGTGGCAGTGCAGCTGGAGATTACCAACAGGAAAGCCGTCGCCACCGTCGCCACCGTCGCCACCGTCGCCACCGTCGCCACCGTCGCCACCGTCGCCACCGTCGCCACCGTCGCCACCGTCGCCGCCTTCCTAATATATTCACAATGACGTACTTACTGTATAAACTTTTAAGAAATATCTCCTTTTATTACCGACTAAAAGAAAAATTATGTTTTATTTCAGGCTTCGCGTTTTATGTTGAAATATGTTTTTCATACAGTTGTAAACTTAAGCAGTTTGCAAAAGTGCATAAACGGTTGTCGAATTAACCTAATGTATTTTTCGTTTTTTCCTTTCTTCTACTCGTCTTCCACCTCATTTACTTTGTTCCTGCCTTTCATATTCTCTTAGTAACTTCCCCTATCTTTCCATCTCCCTCAGTTACTTTCTCCTATCATTTTATCTCTATAATCTACTGTTGTCTGTTTTCCTTACAATGCTTTCCATGTCAGCAGCCAACCTCCTTATCCATCCTTCTCGTCAAGTCCTCCTTCCATCTTTCTCATCTATACTACATTTACTATCTTCTGTATCTCCTTAATCTGCTTTCCCTCCAATCTCTATTTCCCTTCTCTCTCTCTCTCCATAACACATATCTACTTTCTCCTTTTTTCCACCTTTCATCTAATTTCCCTTTGCGCACAAAGAGAGAGCACAAGACAAGATGCAGTTTAGTGGTGTGAATGTCGTGACCTTTACCGCTGCTGCTATCTATCCTTTACCCGGTGTATCTTTATAATTAGGACCAGTGGTGGTGCTGGTCGCGGGTGAACACACACACAGTGGTCCTTATAAAGAGTGCTGCGGCTGGGTGCCTCTCACTCCCAGCCCTCAGTTCTGTATTCAACGTTGTACACGCACGCCGTTGTTGAGATTTGCTATCGTGCTCAGGCCCCAGGCACGCGTTACGCATCGCATACTCATGATGCGTAATTTGTTTATCTCATTGGATAACACGACGCAAACGCGCGCGTGTGGGTGAAGCAAGGTATTACATTGACGCAGACATGAGACGCAGGGTTTAACTAGGACGCAGACACGTGTCGGCGTCGAGCCATGACTAGGTCGTGTGTAAGACGCAATGGACGCCATGTGACGGACTTGACACACACACACACAGCGTATTTATAAACAATATACCTCTTAACAGTGACGCACTTCCGGTACCATTACTCCTGTTGTTATTCTCGAGTGTGTTTATGGCCGACAGAGAGAGTGACAAGTGTTGAGCAAGGCCTCGCCTTCTCTTTTAACATTATTACTGCACATAATTAAGAAGTTGTACTAGTGTAGCAGTAAACGAGTATTTACTACTCATAAACTACAGTGTACCATTGAGAGGTCTGCGGTGCGCCGGAGGGGTTCCGCTCAAGGGAGCTCCTCGGTGTACCACAGGGGTTCCAAAACTTGAACCTGTAGGGTAGTGAGAGAACCCGTGGCTTAAAAGAAGTCTGTGCGCTTACGTAATAAACCCGTATAAACAAACACAAAAATCCACTGAGATATCTAAACCAAAGAGGTTTAAAGTAAGAAATGTTTACCACTGATAACCACCCAGATTAGAAACCCCGCGAAAGGAGGATAACCAGTTTAGAAACCCCCTTTAATTGAATAGTCCCCGGCTTAATGAATCCTCGTATGTGAAGGACAGCCAGTTAAGAAATCCCGAGAAAGGAGGTTACCCTCTTAAGAAAGCCTGGTAATTGGAGGGCAGCCACTTAAGTCTGGGTGAGACGGGTGGGGTTGTGGTGTGCTCCGCTGGACGAGGACCAGAGCGAGCACCATGTCACGCAGGAAGGCTTCAGTGAGCAGCCTGCTGGGGGACGTGTGCAGGAAGATGACACGGAAGATGACCATCCATGACCCGTCAGCCGTGGCCTCCCTCATCAACACGCTGACGCTGCAGAACCCGGTGGTGCACACCCTCGCCGTCGGGGAGGCCGCCGAGCCCCGCGCCAGAGCCAGCTCCGTGCCTCCCTGCTTCAGGAATGATTCTGAACGCCGTCAGGACGAGGAGGATATGGCAGTGGTGAGGCGCCTCCACTATCGCCAACACCACCATTCAGGGGACACTTCGCCCCGCTCAGAGTACCTCTCCAGCGACGACGACGACGACGACGATGACGATGACGATGACTTCGACGAGTACATGGAAGAGTACCTCAGGGAGCAGTGTGAAGGTAACTATTGCCACAGCTTTCTTAGCAGGTCTTGGTGTTCTTTCATGTTCTCACTTATGTTCAACATTATCTTAAAACTTGTACGCCTAGGAAATGTACATACTCTTTTGCATGACCTAAAACATCAAAAAACCTTTTTCTCTTAATTTTAAGCCATTATTATTATGATACAAATGTTTTGATAGTATATTGGTTTATGATCACATCTTATGTGATCATAAACCAAGTGCCCAACCACTTGGAGGGTTGGGGATTGAACGCCGACCTGCACGAAGCGAGACCGTCGCTCAATCGTCCAGACCAAGTGGTTGGGTAAAGGGAGGATAAAAAGAGTGGGTGGTGGTGAGGCCAGGTAGGCAAGGTGGTGGGACGCGGGTGTTCATAACATTACCATCAAATACCTCTCTCCTTCATAACACCTGCCCGGATGCTCCTGGTATTCTCTGGCTCTCTCCAGATGTCTGACTGCCACCCCCCCCCCTCTCTCTCCATTGAGCAGGTGCCTGTCTGCCTGTTTGTATCTGATTGGCTGTGTTCATGTCTTCCCGTTGATGTTTGTCATTGTGTCTGCTGCCTGTATGTGTGTCTGCTGCCTGTATGTATGTGTGTGTGATTCCGCTTCGTTAGTGTGCCTTTGTGTCATCCTTCCTCTGTGTATATGCGGCCGGGGCTCTGTGCCACTATGTCACCTTTTAATAGTTTTTTCTCTGACTCTCCTAATTCTGTTGAACTTCCATCTACCGATTATCATCATCTCCGTGTTCTTAGTGTTGCCTTATAACATCCCTCTGGCACCGTTTGTTTTGGTGAACTATGTTTTTCTTGGTATACCCAGTGGTAGTGAGGCCTCGCTTGGTATACCCTGTGGTAGTGAGGCCTCGCTTGGTATACCCTGCGGTAGTGAGGCCTCGCTTGGTATACCCTGCGGTAGTGAGGCCTCGCTTGGTATACCCTGCGGTAGTGAGGCCTCGCTTGGTATACCCTGCGGTAGTGAGGCCTCGCTTGGTATACCCTGCGGTAGTGAGGCCTCGCTTGGTATACCCTGTGGTAGTGAGGCCTCGCTTGGTATACCCAGTGGTAGTGAGGCCTCGCTTGGTATACCCTGCGGTAGTGAGGCCTCGCTTGGTATACCCTGCGGTAGTGAGGCCTCGCTTGGTATACCCTGTGGTAGTGAGGCCTCGCTTGGTATACCCAGTGGTAGTGAGGCCTCGCTTGGTATACCCTGCGGTAGTGAGGCCTCGCTTGGTATACCCTGCGGTAGTGAGGCCTCGCTTGGTATACCCTGTGGTAGTGAGGCCTCGCTTGGTATACCCAGTGGTAGTGAGGCCTCGCTTGGTATACCCTGCGGTAGTGAGGCCTCGCTTGGTATACCCTGCGGTAGTGAGGCCTCGCTTGGTATACCCAGTGGTAGTGAGGCCTCGCTTGGTATACCCAGTGGTAGTGAGGCCTCGCTTGGTATACCCTGTGGTAGTGAGGCCTCGCTTGGTATACCCTGCGGTAGTGAGGCCTCGCTTGGTATACCCTGTGGTAGTGAGGCCTCGCTTGGTATACCCTGTGGTAGTGAGGCCTCGCTTGGTATACCCAGTGGTAGTGAGGCCTCGCTTGGTATACCCAGTGGTAGTGAGGCCTCGCTTGGTATACCCAGTGGTAGTGAGGCCTCGCTTGGTATACCCAGTGGTAGTGAGGCCTCGCTTGGTATACCCTGTGGTAGTGAGGCCTCGCTTGGTATACCCTGCGGTAGTGAGGCCTCGCTTGGTATACCCTGCGGTAGTGAGGCCTCGCTTGGTATACCCTGCGGTAGTGAGGCCTCGCTTGGTATACCCAGTGGTAGTGAGGCCTCGCTTGGTATACCCAGTGGTAGTGAGGCCTCGCTTGGTATACCCAGTGGTAGTGAGGCCTCGCTTGGTATACCCAGTGGTAGTGAGGCCTCGCTTGGTATACCCAGTGGTAGTGAGGCCTCGCTTGGTATACCCAGTGGTAGTGAGGCCTCGCTTGGTATACCCTGCGGTAGTGAGGCCTCGCTTGGTATACCCTGCGGTAGTGAGGCCTCGCTTGGTATACCCAGTGGTAGTGAGGCCTCGCTTGGTATACCCTGCGGTAGTGAGGCCTCGCTTGGTATACCCAGTGGTAGTGAGGCCTCGCTTGGTATACCCAGTGGTAGTGAGGCCTCGCTTGGTATACCCTGCGGTAGTGAGGCCTCGCTTGGTATACCCAGTGGTAGTGAGGCCTCGCTTGGTATACCCAGTGGTAGTGAGGCCTCGCTTGGTATACCCTGCGGTAGTGAGGCCTCGCTTGGTATACCCAGTGGTAGTGAGGCCTCGCTTGGTATACCCTAATCTATGCACAACTGTAGACCGGTGGGGTATGTGACAAGTGTGTGTGGGGGGGGGGGGCGCTTGTCAATAAGGTGTCAATACTGTATTATCAAGACACAAGTCCTCAAGACGGGTTCAGTTCAGGTATATTTGTATTTAGAAATCATTCCATTAGAAATATATTTGACTTCAGTGACGGAGGAGTGGAGTGATGTGGTTGGTAGTGCCGGGGAGTATTGGTTATCTTGACATGACCGGGGCTTCGCGTCCCCGCGGCCCGGTCCCCGACCAGGCCTCCTTTTTGTTACACATCTCCAGGAAGCAGCCGGTAACCGCTGTCTAACTCCCAGGTACCTATTTACTGCTAGGTAACAGGGGCATCAGGGTGAAAGAAACTGCCTATTTGTTTCCGCCTCCACCGGAAGCCTCTACCTTTTACCTTTTTTTGTTAGAACAAGCTAGATTCGTGAGTGGAAATAATCGAGTGTATTTAGTGTAGCTCACACTGGCCAGTAGGCCTAGTGGAATGTTCATATGGTCTGATTGGGTTATGCTTTATGATCACAAGTGTTGATAGAATATAGTGCGTCACCATCTGGGCTGACCAGCTGCTGCACAGAGCTGGAGCAGACGACCACCCCTGCTGCACAGAGCTGGAGCAGACGACAACCCCTGCTGCACAGAGCTGGAGCAGACGACCACCGCTGCTGCACAGAGCTGGAGCAGACGACCACCGCTGCTGCACAGAGCTGGAGCAGACGACCACCCCTGTTGCACAGAGCTGGAGCAGACGACCACCGCTGCTGCACAGAGCTGGAGCAGACGACCACCGCTGCTGCACAGAGCTGGAGCAGACGACCACCCCTGCTGCACAGAGCTGGAGCAGACGACCACCCCTGCTGCACTGAGCTGGGGCAAACGACCATTCCTGCTGCACAGAGCTGGGACCAGATTTACGAATTAGTTACGCAAGCACTTACGACCTTGTACATCTTTTATCAATCTTTGGAGGCTTTGTTTACAATTATTAAACAGTTAATGAGCTCCGAAGCACCAGGAAGCTGTTTATAACAATAACAACAGTTGACTGGAAAATTTTCATGCTTGTAAACTGTTTAATAAATGTAACTAAAGCCATCAAAGATTGAGGAAAGATGTACACGTTCGTAAGTACTTGCGTAACTGCTTCGTGAATCTGGCCCCTGGAGCAGACGTCCACCCCTGCTGCTGCCTCTCGCTCCAACGCCTCCCTCCAGATTTCTGTCTTTTACGATGGGAACTTTCGCTCTGTAATGTATCCCACAACATTTTTCTGGCACTTAAAAAAAAAATGGTAGTGATATACGGTGCCACCGTTCGTGTCCCTGCCTCCCCTGCTGGCCCCGGACGACCATCTGTGTGAGCTGGAGATAGTGTAGTTGTTATATCCGGGTGCTTCTAGCGGTAACTGAAGTTATTTGATGTAGAGATTGGTGTCGAGGCGTCAGACAACCCGTCTCATTTGTACCTTCTGGGCCCCAACGTACACATTAGTTTTTTTATTATTATTATTTTCTACCACAGACGTGGCCACACATTAACAATGCTAACCAGCATATATACATTGACTAGACCACACACTAGAAGGTGAAGGGACGACGACGTTTCGGTCCGTCCTGGATCATTCTCAAGTCGATTGTGTTCATTCACAATCGACTTGAGAATGGTCCATGACGGACCGAAACGTCGTCGTCCCTTCACCTTCTAGTGTGTGGTCTGGTCAACTTTTGCCACGATATTGTGACTCATCGCCTGCAGCATATATACATTTTCTTCTGTCCTCCATGGACAGGGTTAGAGATGTGTTAAACATATAGTTCAGGGATTTATTGAACAATCAACCACAGAAGGTGATTGTAGTGCTTTTAAAATGCTAGGCTAAGCTACATAAGTTAATACATAGATACACAGATTTACGTATGCCCTACATAAAGTGTTCGATGTGTCTTTTACATAGTGTCATTAACGTGCATTTACAAAGGTGAAATGGAATTCTGATCAGCTTCCACATATACTTTATACACATACATATATACACACAACACACACACACACACACACACACACACACACACACACACACACACACACACACACACACACACACATACACACACACACACATATACGTACATTATGCATTGCATAATGTACATACGTACACATGCATTGCATATATATATATATATATATATATATATATATATATATATATATATATATATATATATATATATATATAATATATATATGCATGCAATTGACGATCACAAAACACTGATCATTTTATGCGGAAAATCCACAGAGAAATATGAAATGAGGTGAACGTTTCCTTTGTGAACACCAGACTCAGTCTGGTGTTGACAAAGGCTTTAACAAGCCGAAACGTTCACCTCATTTCATATTTCTCTGTGGATTTTCCGCATATATATATATATATATATATATATATATATATATATATATATATATATATATGTATATATATGTATATATGTATATATATATATATATATGTATATATATATATATGTATATATATATATATATGTATATATATATATATGTATATATATATATGTATATATATATATATGTATATATATATATATATATATATATATATATATATATATATATATATAT